ACGACCTCGGTGATACGGAAACAATGAAATGGACACGTTAATTAATCACTTTGGTACAGATTGCGAGTCAGATGATGGTACGGTGTTTACGGCTATAATTGACGGCCATGAGACCAAGCATGAATGGTCAGTTGTAAAGCCATTAGTAGTGCAACAGAAATATCCACGTGATAAGATGTCAACCTTATGGAAGATAATATACGAATATCATAAAGAACAATTTACAAATCTACTTAAATTGGCGAGTTTAGCACTTATACTTCCAGTTCAAACAGCAGATTGCGAACGTGGGTTCTCGATTCAGAATCGTATAAAAACCAAAACGCGTAATAGACTGCAACCTCATAGAGTGGATACGCTGTCTCTGATCTCTGGCGAGGGACCCAGTATTGAAGATTTTCAATTCAATGAAGCCCTTGCTTTATGGAAATCAAGTAAACCAAGGAGAGCATTTCATACGAAATGAATGTTATTATCTATACCCGTATATCTCATTAATGAATATTGATTGGCTTTGCTGATGTGTATTATGTACATTGTCAATCATGGAAATAAAAATTAAAGGTAAACATACTTTTTTGAGTGAAATGCAATTTATTATGAAAATTTAACAATGGGTGTCCCTAAAAAAAAAAATCGCGTGTCCCCACTTTTTGGCTGACATGGGTCACTGTGTCCCACGTTTCGAAATCCTGGCTGAAACACTGCTCTAATGCATGCCCAACAATTTACTCAATTACCATACATTTGTCCATGTAATCTTTCTGCATGTAATCTAATCACATATTTTTACTGCTAAATGTTGTGTCTAACAATCATTTATCTTTTTTTTTTCAGGTGAATTGTTTATCGTTTAATCCGTACAGTGAATTTATTCTTGCAACTGGTTCAGCTGATAAGGTAATACTAGTCACTGCTTGTTTTATCAGCAACGATCACATGAAACTGAGATGATTTGCTTGAATATGATTTCCGAAATATTGACATTTGTTATATAACAATTTCTTCTCTTCTAGCTAATGTTCATGTGAATGTCCTTAATTTGCCTCATCTATAGTTGGCAGGCAAATCAATAATTTCTATCAGAATTAAAACACGACTTTACAGCTGTGATTAAGTTGTGTGCTCTGATTACTTTAGCCATTGAAACGTTTTATAAGCTTTTGATACTAGTCACAAGTTGTCTCAGAATGAATGCAATATTTTGTAATAACGGTTTCATTTCTAGATTTTAATGACTTTGTGTTTATATTTTTTAGACTGTAGCATTATGGGACTTGCGGAATTTGAAATTAAAATTACATTCCTTTGAATCTCATAAAGACGAAATATTTCAAGTACAGTGGTCACCACATAACGAGACAATATTAGCTTCCAGTGGTACAGATAGAAGGCTACACGTGTGGGATCTCAGGTATGATTGCTCTAATGCACAATTCTGACTTGGATATTGATTTCACCAACTTAAATGATATTCACATTGGTGGTCTTTATTTGGAGGTTGGATTATTATTTTCATGAATTGCCAACTCGTACAATTCACATATTTGTCCAGAAAATGAGATGGTACTGTTACAATAAAAAACACAAAATTGAGTTGGCTTAAAATCAAATAAGTTTAATTTGAGAATATTAAAAAAATATTAATGAACAAAATGTTATTTTAGTTATTAAACAATGGCAAATCTACAAAAATATTGCTGAAAATCACACAAGACGGGTGGTCTTTAAAGAATCTTCAGCATAAGTGTTGTATGTAATAGTTTTATCCATTGCAAGACTTGGTGTACAATGTTTTCTGACCTAACTCAGAAATATAGTACATCTGTAAGATAGGCCTGTTTACTAATAAACCATTAAAATATTAAACTGTTGAGCTTTATGGAGAACAATAGATAAGAAAAATAAAATGCATCTTTTTCTGCATACATGAAATAGCAAAAACTGCCGTATTACCAAGTAATATCTGATAATACAAATCATGTTTTATAGTAAAATTGGGGAAGAACAGTCAGCTGAGGATGCCGAAGATGGACCCCCTGAATTGCTGTTTATTCATGGTGGTCACACTGCCAAGATTTCAGACTTTTCATGGAATCCAAATGAACCCTGGGTAATATGCTCTGTATCAGAAGATAACATAATGCAAGTATGGCAGATGGTGAGTGTATTTTGTGGTCGTCAAGGTAACCCTTTCACAAAACAAACCTGGTTAATGGAAAATTGATCATTTGGTAAACTATTAAAAAAATGAATACAAATGTTAAAAATGTTGCTCCAACATTTGTTGGGGCGGGACAGGGTCTTTCCAACAGTTAATAAAGTAGGACATGGTATTAGACTTTTATGCTATTGCAATTTTATTTCAAAAATTGTTGGCAAGGACAATTATCAAGAAAAGTAATTACTTTCAACTGTGAGTTGTATAGAAATGTCCCACAATTCAATGCATGCTTTTAAAGATGCCTAAATAAAAAGATCAAAATGAGTGATTTAATGCGCCTTGTTTCAGTCATGCACACCCATGTTTATTCACACATACATTCTCTATGCAGTATAGTTGAATATTCATGTTGATAGCTTTACCCTAAATCTATTTATTTAATCCTTCGTTATAACAATTCATACATGACATATTATCCGTATTTTTGTTCACAGGCTGAAAATATCTATAATGACGAAGAACCTGACACTCCTGCATCTGAATTAGAGCCGTCGACATCCTAAACACTACGTGTAAATAACTTGGCTCAATACAAATCTACTGACGCATCCTATGGAAGCTTAGGTGTACATAACTGACAAAACAATGTTGTCAACTTGCAGTTTTATCTAATTGATGCAGCAGGTATTCAACACGAGCAGGATATCATGGCGCTATATCAACTTCATAGATGGCGGGGGGGGGGGTGATCCAATTTTTATCAGATGATTATTGTCACTATATGTTGTACATGCTTCCTTAAACTTTGTATCGTTAATTAGCAGTGTGCAAATTTTAACTTCACAAAGTTGTTTGCTTTCTATACTTTTTCACATAAAAACAAAAAATTATACCGGAGTATCTTATTGTCAGGATTAATCAAATCTTAGATACTTATTTGAATTATTTACTAGTCTGATCTGAAGTGAAAGGAAACTATCCAACTTATTAAATTCAATTTCCAATAAAACCCTGAAACTGCGAAGCATGCTGAAATAAACAATTGTTTGAGGATGTACCATGGAATGATTGTGATAGAACCAGTCGTGTATTTGTATATATAAAAGTGCAGTGAACCCTTCCATGTCCCGATACATTATTTTGAGCATAAGCATGCCTACAATGAATTGAATCTTTTACAGTACATTATATTTGTAGAGAACTTAAAATTTAGTTTATTACTATAAAAAAACAATTTTTGAGAAAATGTCCTTATTTGAGTAATAGAAATATAGTAATTTTCATTATTAAAGTCACTGATATAAAAGTTGTTGTAGTTTTTTTGCATTGAATTTATTCTCAGTAAAGAGTATTCAGATTGCATGCACCGAAAATAGTCCACTGGTGAACAGACAAAATATGTGACTATATAGGGGGGTTGGCCATCTCTAAACAAAAACTACAGATTCCTGCAAAACAAGAGAAGAAAAAAATCCTAACTTGCACTGCGAAAGTTTTTTTGGTAGTAGTGTTAACAAATAGCCTTAAAGTTGGACTGTATGTGCAAAAACTTGCACTAATCTTACGAATATTCAAGCTCTAATGCCAACAATCTCAAAATGAAATGTGCCAATGACATGCATGGTGTTCCAGACAGCTCAATGAACAGTGCACATGTCTGTTGAGAGCTCAATTTGAACCCAATATTTTCCTTCTGGGCACATTAAACCATGGTTAACCAAACAACGTTGTCTGTTTAGCTCTGCGAGTATGCAGGTTATGCGATTAGAACCGTTTTGATCAAACCATTATAAATGGGGTGTACGGCTAAATGCACATACTAACGTCATCCAACTAGATGCAACAGTTGGACTTCATATTTACATTTTGTTGGATAACTGTCAGACAGCTATAATACAATTATTTTGAATAACATGTCAGTTGAATCTAAACTGGCTTCAAGCACCCAGCTAGAACTGATGGTTAATAATCTTTTATTTATCTAACAACTCTGAATGTGGTAGTTAACATTTGTAGTCTAATTAAATCTTGTTTGCAGCAAATGAGATTGCTATGCTGATTAGATATTAAGTTGTGCCAGGTGATTAATTATCATAATGAATAACAAGTACCCGGTAATTGCATTACATGGTTTCTGCAAGTTTAAGAAAACGGAGTTTGAACATAAAAAGATAGAGCATGTTGGAGATATTGATCAATAACTATATATAAAAACAATGGCCACCAGTCTGTCATTTTAAATCCAATCTAAAATGCATTTAAATTTGTACGAAGTGTCCATACACAACTGGATCAAAGTGCTTGATTTTGATGAATTTTAGCATTAAAATTTATGTACTGGTCATAGCTCCAAAACGTCATTCATTGAAACAAAATGGAATTTAAATATATCGTTTGATGTACTGTAAAACATTGAAATAGCTGCATACCATTTTAGTGAATTTGACTCAATACATGAATCTAAATCTTAATTTAGCTAAAATGCGAACAATCTCATTGTGAGAATATACTTTATTCTAAATTTGAATTGGACGTCTTAGCCAAAAGGTAAAAAGACTTGTTTTACACTATGTACCAAGTTTAAATGATATCCATCCATACACTGCCACCTTGGATTATCAAATGTGTGTGCACATGTGTAACAGTATAAAGTTTTAACATGATCCGTCAAGGCATGTTCGAGATTGGTTCTGAAACAGCATTTGTTAAAACAGACCACCAGTCGCCCATTTTGAAACGAAGCTGAAAAACAAAATGATGTCCAATGTGCCAAGTCTGAAAAAAATCATCCATATAAACTGAGATCTGGTTATGGAGAACCTTGATTTTGGTGAATTTGTCAACATTAAAATGGATGTCCCATAGTTTCACCACTCATCGAGCGTAGATACTTAGTAAAAAGTAATTACAAAGGTAAAGAAATGTTACGCTACCATTATTATATATTACGGGTAATGTCGATTACCGCAATCGAATGTGCGACATGATGTAAAATGTAGATACGATATTTAAACAAGATCAGGAAATGTCAGATATTGCTCTGTAACCGCAGGTGTTAATCGATCTGAAAAACAAACTGGCGTGCATCAAAGTCCCATGATGTCTGATGTTCTACCAAGTTTGAACAAAATCCGTTAACACACAACTGAGATATGGTTCCGGAATTGCAGATATGCATATTTCTGGTGAATCTATAGCACAAAAATGGCATGAATGAATCTTGAATCCGGTTGCGAACAGAATGGACGTGCATATGTGTCCCAAGATGCATGATGTATACAAGATGTTTAAATGTGATCTATCGAGGCATGTCAGAGATACAGGGGAAAACTCGCGCACGCACTGAGGTCAAAACGAAAATCCCTGTTTTCGGATTTCGAACGGGAACTAATGATCTAAATGACAAGACCCAAAAGCCAATGACTGACATCGAAATTCCTGGTATGGAGTGTTTGTCTTTGAGTTCTGTGTGTAGACCTCACATCTTATAAACATGGTATTTTCAGTCGACCTAATAATAATAATACTAATAAGTTTATTGCATCCTTAGAAATACAATGTTACTATCAGTTAATAGCCATAAAGATTAGTTGTGATAAGTACTACTTCTCACCCGCACTGCTTCTAACAATGACTAAAAGTGTTGTCGACATTGTAGATTCCATAAAAGGGACGCAAGAACAAAAAAATAATCTTCGATCACAGTAGACAACTAATGTTACTGAGCCAAATCTACCACGTTGCTATGCCTGAGAGAAAAAAATGAACGATCTTTCCTACGGCACTAGGAATGCTTTGTTAAGTCTAACAACTGGAATACGATATGGGTTTCATTCTTCAACATATTTAATGTTTTCCTGTCTCCATAGGCTAAGTTAAGCCTGATTCTTTGGGAGTAGTGTACATTTATGATAGATATATTGTCAGATTTATATGAATAAATTCACCTCTATATTTTTTTACAAAAATGACCACGCCCACTTTGCGAAACCACGCCAAAATTGTAACTCGATGTTCAATTAACAGTTTACAGAACTTCGACTTACGAGCAGATTATATTTTTGTTTTTGTTGAACGTCACATTTAGTTAATCGAACTTTGGGTAACAGAACTTCGAGTTACGGGCAACGTAGATTTTTTGTTTTGTTTAACGTTGTATATTACCCGTAATTCCAAGTTTGGTTAGCTGATAATAAAAATTACTAAATTTGAGCGTTAAACAAAACAAAAAAAACATGCGCGGTAAAATAGAGGAAATTATTCTTCTGTCGCCCGCAGACAGTCGGGTTGGGAGATATGGTAAAAGGGTCGTTCGCCCTAATAAATATCTGATTAATTTGTAATGAGGGTAGATTGGCAATTAGGATAAATAACCATAATAAACTAAAACGGCTCAACTGCCTCTGTTCCTGGTGAATTGTTAACAGAAACATGGTCACCATTTGGTCATCTTGAATCGGATCGAGAAAAGAATGGACGTGAATATGTATGTACGACGCCAAGTAGTTTGTGTGCGTAAAGTTACAATGTGATCTACCAAAGCATACACACACAAGTGTTATAATATTTTTTAGAATTATCAATACGATGAACAATCCAGGACGTGTTTAAAAATCCCTCGTATATACTCCGAGGTATTTATTTATTTAGTTATTTATTTATCAAGTAGGTCATACATATTTTCTATTGCAGTAAAATACTGACGGACTTTGATTCAACTGGCTTCCAAGCATAATAACAGCAAGGAACCCGACAATTTCCAGTGTTCACTAAAAGTCGTACTTTAATTCCTGGGAATCATCAGAGTTGCAAACCGGTTAAAGTCGATCGACAATCTTTTAAGGCCATATAAAATATAAAAACGCTTTCTCACATCTACTGTCTACGGTTTTTATGGATTAGATTCCAACCTCTCACCGCTGCTCTACTGTGACTTCGCCATGGATGAACTGGTTTACTGGATAATATATATTGTGATAAAATTGTTAATTTATTTATAGTTATAACACCGAAGAGTTGTAGCATCAGTGATGTTATTGTTAGCATTGAACATTATTGTCGTCTGCCTCTTCATTGAATAAATAAATATGAAAATCGTAATTTTCAACAAAAATAATAGTCTCGCTACCTTAAATAACTCGTACTGCGTATTCTCATTTCTGAATCATTACATTGGAGTTCGTACATCATTTCCTCAACGTTAATGAGTTAATATCAGTCATCGGCGATCAGATTTCTTCGTCTATCTACATTCGAGTTGGAACAACTTAAGTGATGTTATGTGTGCCTTCTTTACACCACGTACCTTCCCTTGACACGTGAGAGAGTTCACTAGTACCACGTCCTCCACGTAAATTCTTCGCTGCCTTCTCTGCACAGACGACATTGTCCCCATGTCAAAATCTATTAAGACTTGTTTGCACAACAAAATTGTGATTGAATTTCAATACTGAAAAATAAAAAAAATACTGTTATTAAACAGATTGATAAATATATATAATTGTTAATTTAACAAAAATTTGAATATTACTGGCAATACTCATCACACTAAGTTTTCATCTTCAAGTACTGTATACAACTTACACAGGAACATACACTTTTATAATCTTATTCAGTATTTTTTAATTCTTATGTGTTAGTATTATTACTATTATCAGCAATATTTATCATAGTTATGATATTACTTATTTTTAATGTTACCTGTTAACAACCTATTTAACTTGTCTTCCTTTATACCATACAACAGACGTAAGACAAACCACCTTACATCTTGCAAAGTAAGTACAGCAGTTTCAAGTTCATAATCCTCTATTGTAACGTTATACCTTTACTAGGACCATAAAAGCTAGTTCACATAACTTTTTGAGTTAATATGATAAGATAGGCGTACAGCGCTAGTATGGCCACAGGCACAAGGACAAATTCAAAGGGTCACATATTTGTTATCTTAATATTCTTGACAAACGCACACGAGTCTATCTAGTTTATCCGGCCAGGTATTCGGTTATGCAAATTACAAATAGATAATATGCATAAATTAATTAGAAGATGTTATAATATAAACAAAACAACAAATCAGTTTTGCCCGTACTTCGGATAACTGTAAATTAAATTTGGGTGTGGTTTCGCAAAATGTTTTTTTTTTTGAAATATGGGCGTGGTCATTTTTATAACTCGATGTATTCGTAACTCGATGTCCATAACTCACACAGTTCAGCATTTCCCCATGGAGCAGTGGCCGGATTGAAATGAAACTTGACACAATTAACACTACTAGTATATTATAACAGCTTCAAATTAATCTATGCA